CACCATCGACCAACAACACCTCCTGCAGACCTCCAAGACGCGTCACGACATTCGTGGTATGGTCTTTATCTTTTCCTCTTTCTTCTTTTCGTCTTCCTTTCCCCGTCTGCCATTCTTTTCTTTCTTTCTCCTTCCTACAAGCCCACTTTCGTCCTACCACTTCGCCGATCCCAGATTTTCTACCTCCATACACCTCTTTCTCAAACCCTTTCTTGGTCGTACTTCCTCTCCCTTCATCCTTTTCGTTGAAACCTTCCTCTTTCCTTTTAATTGTCTTTTGACTCCCATGCTAACTCTTTCCCCAGATCCACCCGTGGCAGCACCGCTCCCATCCCTCCCTCCCTCTCTGCCCCTCGCACCCCCCACCCTCGTATTCTACTCCCATGTATCCCTAGATACCAATTCATTTTTTTCAACCTGATTACCTTCGGGACGGGGAGACTATCGTCAAAAAAAATCCTCAAAAACACGCTACGACTTGGAACATTTTTTCACTTTCCGTGTTATATTTGTTGTTATGTACCGTTTGATTGACATGCCGGGGCAGCGGCCACGGTCCCCGGTGTGATGCGGGAACATGCCAGACCATCGGCCGACGGCCGAGTGATCGGCTTGAGTTGGGATTTTCTTTCAAGGCGCTTTCTATTGCGATGTGCAGATTCGAGGCTCTGTGTAGCCACTAGGTCTGTTCTATACGTTGCAAACACTGGTTCTGGCGGTTTCATTTGTATGCATGTGCCTTGTACATGCATGGAATTGGAGTTTTATTTTCACTGTTCTTCATTTGGAGGTATGTGAGCTACGTCTCAGCCAAATTAGATACTACATAGTAGAGGAAAACATAGCAGACTGAAAGCTGTTCATATTCTAGCTAACCTAGGCTAAAGTGAGAGGTTCGCGAAAAAACGTAGTTGAATTTCAGCTACACCGACACCAGGTGTGAGCAGGAGACAGTAATGCATCTCAGACGACACAAGAGCAATTCTATGAGGCATTTGAAGCTCTAAGACTGACTCAGAGCCAAAGAGCGCGCCAGAATTTCAATGACCTTCCCAATCGGGTCGCTAGAGTGAGTGGCCCGTTTAGGAACTTGCTCCGGAAATCCGACCCAAGGATCCATGGGTTGCTTCTCCAGATTGCCAAATTTTATTGATCGTTCAGTGAAAATGATTCTGAGGAGTCGTCCCTTCTAGGATAATTATGTAAGTGACTCGGGGACGAGTGAGTGCCAAGTCGTTCATGTGTGCTCAGGAAAAGATCAAGACAAAGACTGAACAAGAAGATACGACGGAGGAAAAATAAGTATATTCGCAGCTCTGCTTACGACAAAAGTGCGTAGAAAGAGACATGACCGGCGCGCTGCCGCTGTCCATGAACCCGCTGCTGCTGCCGCCCATGCTCGTGTCGAACCCTGACGTCCCGCCCGGGAACGAGCTGTCGTAGCCGCCGCTCATCCCGCTCATCCCCGTGTTCTGCATCCCCAGCTGCATCCCCGTCATCCCCGTCATCCCCGTGTTCTGCGCGGTCAGCCCGCCCATCTGCCCTTGTCCTTGTCCCATCCCCGTCCCCATTTGCCCCGGCACGCCCAGCCCACCGCCGGGCATCCCGTCGAAGCTGAAGCTCCCCGAGTCGCCCTCGGGTGCGAAGCCCGTGCCGGCGTTGAAGCTCGAATGGGTGTCGAGGTTGAGGCGCGGGGGCGGCGCAGTTGAGCCGGAGGGCAGCGCGGAGAAGACGACCTCGCCGACGGCGCGCTCGGCCTCGATGACGCGCTGCTGCGTGAGCTGGTGGCCCATGTAGGGCGTGCGGGAGAGGCCGGGCGGGGTGGGTTCTTCTGAGATTTCCTGCAAAAGCGGATGAGCATAAGCGAGGAGGATGTGAAGAAAGGAGAAGAGGGAGGGAGGGAGGGGAGCAGGGAGGAGGAAGGGAAGCAGGTCCGGTAGGAAATTCGCACGAGTCCTGGGTTTTGTAGGCGGCGTTGTGCTAACTCGCGACCGCGCCACGCACCATGATGCTCTGCACATCCTGCGTGGCGTCCGCCTAGCAACCCCCGCCAAAGAAAAAAGACAAGAGCAGAAGACACTCACAGCAACCACCGCCCGCCCCACCTCCGCCACCACACACCCCTTCTCGCAGCACTCCCCCAGCCCGCCAAACTTGAGCCCCATCAGCGCGCGCGCGCTGCTGCGCTTGAAGTCGCCCAGTGCGGCTTCTTCGGTCATTATTTCGCCTGGGGTGGGTTAGCGACGTGTAGAGGGAGGGAGCAAGGAAAAAGGAAAAAGGAAAAAGGAAAAAGGAAAAAGGAAAAAGGAAAAAGGAAAAAGGAAAAAGGAAAAAAGGAAAGGAGGGAGGGAGAAGAGGAAAGGGAGAGAAGTGAATGAAACAGTGCAAAACGGAGGGAAGTGGGAAAAGGGGAGGAAGAAGAGAGTGAGGGAGGGGAGGGAGAAAAGAAGAAGGAAATGAGGAAGGAGGAGGAAGGAAGGACGAGGGCAATAAACGAAATGAAATAGAGAGAAGGAAATGAACGAAACGAATAGAAGAACGAGGAAGGCGGGAACGAACGGAGGATATATAAACAGATGAAGGGTATAAACAGAGGTAGGAACAGGAGGATGCGGGAAGAACGAGGGCAATAAACGAGAGGTGAAAAGACAGGGAATGAACGAAACGAATAGACGAATGAGAAACGAATGAAGGAGAGCAGGAGAGAGAGCGACGGGTATGAACGAAACGGAGCGAGAGGCGCGAAATAAAAAAAAACTCACTATCCATCTGCCTGATCTGCGCCTGCAGCCCGTTCAGCACGTCCGTCTGCTGCATCAGGTTCTTGTGCTCCGGGCCCATCTTGTTCAGCTTCTTCTCCGCGCTGTCCGCGCGCGCGTGGGTGGCCTGCGGACGGTGGTTAGCGAGTTATATTATATTATAAGGACGCGAGGCATGGTGAGCACGCGGGAGGCGGAAGCGAGGGGTGGTGGTGAGCAGGGAATTGAGGCGTCGTGAGGGAGGGAAAGCGAAGGGAGGTAGAACGCGAAGTAAAGAGGTATAGGAAGAGGGACGCGAAAGTGAATCACGGTGAGGGCGAATTAAGGAAGAGGGAAGAGGAACGCGGATTGAGGAAGGAGGAGGAAGCGTTATGAAGTGCGAATTGAAGGAGTAAGGATTAAGGACGAAGCATTATGGGGACGCGGATTATGGGACAGGAAGAGGGAGCGAAGAGAAGAAAGGAAGGAAGAACACACCTTACGCCGCCGCTTGAGCTCATCGAGCGCTTCTTCGCGCGTGCGGATGGATTTGAGGTGCTGTGGAATTGACGTCGTCAGCTATATTGCTTTATATGGGAGACCAAGGGTAAGGGAGAGCAGGAAGGACGGGGAGGGAGGGGAGGGAGGGGAGGACGGGGGAAGAACGAGGAGGAGGGAGGGGAGAATGAGGAGGAGGGGGACGGAGTCGTCGCAGAGAAGCACAGACGCGCCGACTCCACTGCCATTGCAGCATTGCAGCATGGGCCCGCCCGTCACCGTCAGACGGGCATCGCGCATATGCAGTACCCAACGCAGCGCAGCGCACACACCAAAGCACAGCCCTTCCACGGTGCGGAAATCAAGGGAGCACAAGCGCCTGGAGACGCTTTGGCATCGTGCGCGGGCACCCACGCTGCCGTGCGGGGAACGGGAGGACGGGTTGCAAGCCGATCGCGGACGTCTGTGTCTGCCCGCCAGAGACGGATGCGAAGAGAGACGCGACGCTCCCCGAGACGCGACGACGACGCGGCTGACATAGCGCGCACGTCCAGACCAGACCAGGCCAAGGATACCAAGGGCGGATGGCGCGGCATCAGTCCATAGTCCCAGGGACAGCGCAAGTGGCATCGCGGTACGAGATCACAAGCGCCTGACGACATCCAAGCGTGTTCGGGTGCGGGTCGCGTAGCACGGCGGGACCAGGCGGGAAGATGGGCCGACCCGGATACGTGTAGGCGTACAGCAGGCACCACAGCGTACTCCGCCTCGAGAGGCCCGAGACACGGAGATCACGAGTGGGCCATTCCGCAGCCCGAGACCGATATAGCGCACGCTGATAGATGGCAGGCAGGCAGGCGACACGACACCAGCGCCCAAGCAAAAGACACTCACATCGCGAATAGCATGTTCCCTCGACGCATACGCCGACAGCGCCGCCGAAAAGTGCCCCAGCACCGTCGTCGATCCGCTCAGGATGTCCTGCACAAATAATCAAATCAGCTTCCCTTATTCGCACTGAGCATTTGAAGACACGCACCCCGAGATCATCCCCCTCGCCAACGCCCCACACCCGCAGCGCCTCGCTCGCCTTGCTAAAGTCCACCGCGAGCTTCTGCATCCTGTGCCCCCTCTCGTCAGTCTTCAACCCCAGAACACCGGGAAAGTGCACACGATATAAGCACGACCTTCTCCGCCGTGATGAGGTCCTGCAGCGGGCGGAGGTCCTTGTTGCCCGACAGCGCGAGGGCCGGGAGGGTCGAGTTGTGCGCGATCTTGGTCGCCGCGCTCTTGAACATCGTGGAGGAAGAAGAGTCAGCACAGCTTTCGGCGTGTCAGCGTCATTGCGTCATGCGTCTAAATTAAGGAACAGCGGTTCGAGGTGGGTGGAAGCGTGGCGATTCGTGTAGCTCGTTGCAGAAAAGAGCATACCGTGGCTCTGTTCACATTTTGTTGTTACTTTCCTCCCGCTCATGCACCGTTTTTATGTAGGATTCAGAATGACACGCACACTGCGGAAAGCCAAACATAGAACACAGAGTCGAAATGAATTTATACTGGACCGCTGGAGCAGGCTTTCCCTCTACGTATTCCCTGTTTACTTTCCCTCGGGTCAACCTCGGGTGCCACCCAGAATTCACAACAACAAGTATCAGTCTCAGACTAAAACGATCCGGAACTGCATGCAATTTCGTTGAATTCCTGAGCACCTGCAAGAAAGCCCTCGACAAAAAAAAGAGTGCACAATATTTCACTTCAACGATACGCCTCAGGAGGGAATCGAACCCCCGTCTCCTCATTACATGCATCGATGCCAAACAGACCTGGACCGAGCTGAGGTGACTGCCATAGTCCACAGAGACTTGAAATTTGAATATACCTAAATTGCCTGGACTCTGTGTACCGAAAAAAAGGCACACACAGTCCAGTCGATTCGCGTCGGTGTCGGGCATATCTAACGACATGTTGAAATTCCGTCGGGCATCTCGGACACTGAAGTCGTCGCGGTGCCGTGCCACACGACGACTCGCAGTTGTAACAATGTAAGCTTCACGAGGCTAGATGCTACTCCTAGCCCAAAAAACGAACCTGATGAAAAAGATGCGCAGGAAATCATACCTTTGCAGGCCTTCGGAGGGAATCGAACCCCCGTCTCCTCATTACATAGGTAGATGCCAGACCGACCGAGGTGAGGTGACTGCCATAGTCCACAGAGGCTTGGATATCCCTAAATTGCCTGGACTGTGTGCGCACCTTTCCTTTATTCCGGTCCTTCCGACGAGGTTCGTGTTGACTTTTCCCGTGTCGGGCATCTCAGGCATCCGAGTCACGTCCTAAATTGCTCATCTGCCCCAAAATGTCCAGCCGAGCACGAAGCACGAGATGGAACACAAAAACTTCTGAACATTTCGGAGCAGCCTCCGGAGGGAATCGAACCCCCGCCTCCTCAAGTACGAAGATATCAGCTCCAAATCGAGCTTAGGTGACTGCCATAGTCCACAGAGGCTTGGATATAGCTAAACTGACTACGATATGCGTGTGCAGCACCTTCTGTGCTTTAAGACGTGTTGAGAATCGAGATTGGGTCGGGCATCTCGGGCATCAAGATCGTGCCATTCCACGCAATTATTCGGAGCTATGACTGTAGGTCCGGATGCTGGTCAGAGTCTTGCGCCCAAAGAACCGAAGATAACTCAAAAGATTTGCAAGCCCTCTCACGGTCATGGCGTCCGGAGGGATTCGAATCCGACAAGGACAAGGGTAACAAGAAAGGGACTCACGGGTGACGGAGTCCACAGAGTCGTGAATATACTCGCACTGCCTGGAATGCGTGTGCACCGTCGGTGGCTCCCGACGTGGTAATGGGGGTTGTGCGAGGGTAAAAAAACGATCTCGGACCGAACACGCCTGCGGAGATGATCGAATCCATTTCTTCAGTGCTGTTCAACCTTGACAGAAGACGATACAGACCGGTGAATTTAATAGCCCACTGAGGGCTGACTGAGTTGAATACATGTCCATCTTTTAATATAACTCTGTGTCATTTTTGTGTTCAAATGTATCTCGGGCATCTCGGGCATGTTCATATCAATCCGCAACCCAACTCATACGGTCAAATCCTTTGCAATACTTTTAACGGAAGATGCCGGACGGAAATTTAGTGCAAGAGGGACAGTGTCCATGGTAATATAGCTGTCAAACCAAGAACCGGTCAGGTTGGTTCGCGCCGGTAAAATTCGAACGTTGAAAACGCTGGCGTTGAGAGTCACAAGTCGCTGACCGTGTGAAACACTGTCAGTGTCGTGTGGGATAAGACAGTGCACATATTAGAGCACAGCGTGGTCCCGTTTTGGGACGTGCCAGAGTGTAATCTACAGTATGTAACTAGTTTAAGGAGTGTTGATGTAGCGTGTATACGTGTCAGCAATTCCGCCTTTATCGAGGCAGGCTCGCATTCATTTTCCGCCCCGCTGCCTCGCCACGAATTCCTGATCCTCTGGACTCAGTCTATGCTCGTATCTGGAGAAGGTGGATACGGCTTCCAGGAGCTCGCGGTCGATGATCGTAGCCTTCTCGGCTGAGCGCGGAGTTATCCTACACCGGAAAGACATTGGCCTTGATGTAGCGCCCTTGGGATGTGTCAATATGACCCGCTGTCAGTGCCCGCACAAACTCACGGTATGGTACGCCATGGTATCCGCCTCGAGGGGATTTCCGTTCGCGTCGATGTCTTTGTCGAAGTTGAAGGCCCAGAGGAGGTTCATGACGTTGAGGTTCTAAGTATGTAAGTGTGAGCTGCTTGCCCACGCACATGGCCACGAGGGAAGACACACAATCGTGTTGTGGGCGACATGCATACCCGGGCAAATTCTCTGTGGGCCGGTGAGACGACAAAAAGGAAATAAAAGGTTCTGGCACTCACGCGGCCAACGCCGAAGGCGAGGTTGGATCGCAGATCACCACCAGCGTCGGCGCCTGGCTTTGTGCCATTCTCGGTCAAGAGATAGCGATCTGGGATGAAACTCTCGGGGTCGTCGAACAGTGCAGGGTCGTGGAAAATGCCCCCTGATATGGCCGTCAAGATACAGAAGTAGAAGGATATAATATCGCGACTCACAAGCATTGACAAAGATTGTGGTGCCTTTGGGAATGACATATCCGTTATACTGAGAAAGTAATTCACCGCTTGCTAAAAAGAAAACTGGTAGTAGCTCACCTCCTCCGTAGCCAACGTACAGTGTGGGATGAGGAGCGGTGCCACGGGCCGAAAGCGATGGTTCTACGAGACATCGTGAACGAGCTGTCAGAGAAATAAACAGGCGGTCATACTTCCAGGATCATAGCACGAATATATGGCATGTTTTCGAGGTCTTCTAACGTCGGCATCCGACTGCCCCCGACGACACGATCAATTTCTTCGTGCGCCTTCTTCTGTGCTTCGGGATACGCAATTAGAGCTAAGATAAGTGACTGCAAGTAAGCTGCGGTCGTTTGCGATCCAGCACCGATCAGTACGCCGCTCAGATGTCTAAGAGTCACCGTCAGAAGGCTTGTATCGAGGAAGAGATAAAGAGTCCTAACCCCGTCATATCCCTATCCATTCCAAGCTCGTCCTGCCGCTCGACCAACTCCTCGACGTAGCTTCCGTTACCCTCGCCCTTGACCATTCTCTCCTTGGTGGCGTCCAAAAGACCGAAATACAGTTTGTGCTGCATCCTGCGCACATTCGCGGCGTCGCGCTTCCACTTGGCCCAGCGCTCGGGGACGTATTTCAAGAAAGGGTAAAAGTCCATGGGCGGCGTGGCACCCGGGTCCAGGAGCTCCATCCATGCGTCTTCTACCTCGAAGGAAGCAACAGTCTCCGGGGTCTCAAAGCGCGGCGAGCGTTTGCCATAGAGGACGGAGAGGATGACTGAGCTCGAATATCGCTGCAGGTCATTGTAAAATTGCTGAAGATTAGACACAAGATCAATATTTGGAACAAGAAGGAGAGGAGAGCATACCTCAGGCGAATGGAGTATATCGCGAACCAGCTGCACAGTTTCGGCTATTTGGATAGGAAGGTGGCGGATAGACGCTTGCGGCGTCAAGATCGCATGAGCCGCTTTGCGGAGGGTTCTCCAGTTACCGTCTGGTCGAACGACGGTTAATTGTCTGGCATTCGAGCAAAAACAACGAACTATAGCGGGCAAGGACCAGATCCATCCCTTGGGTAACCACCTCTCCCACATGCATTGGGGGCCTGTCCGCCGTGCTTGCACTCCGCTTATCCATCAGCTCTCTAACCGCCGCGACATCGGTGATGATAATCGCTGTTCCAGAACCCAGTTTGAGCTGCACCCAATCCACGCTTTCAATATCGAATGCACAAGGGAGTCCACGGCTTACCGAGACAAGGCCACCATACTGCCGTGCCCATTCTGTGAATCTACGAGAGTCAGAAAAGGCGAGCTCAGATCGGAACACGGCGCTACGTACTTGAGATGCGCGTATTTCGTCGGCATTTGGTGCAGATTACCGAGAATAGGGAGCGTCGGCGGGCCAGGAGGTAGTCCTGCTTCCCGAGCACCAAGCTTCCTCAGCCATGATGCTGCGGCCACACAGAGAGCTCCCAATGTCAGCAATATAAGGGTAGTCGACATGGGAGCCAGACGCGGGGGAAGAAGGTGAGGAAGAAGGAGGTTGGTCGAGAAGGGCGAAAGAGAGTGGGAAAGAGACTATGTACCGCTCGCTTGAGTTCTTTCCACTCCGATCATCGTCCGACAGTCGTAGGTCGAGATACTGTGAATTTCGGAAAAGATCTGAAACAAAGATTCTTTTATCCGCGTTTAGCTTGTTCAGCCGTGGGGCCTTTTGCAGTGAAGGGGTGTGCGCTCAGCTTCTGAATCTGAGGGATTTCGATGGAGAAAGATCATCTGAGTTGGTTCATCGAGGTAACTTACAATTGAAGTTTGGCCAGTCGCGTTGAGCATGATTTGAACAGCGTATTACGATCGTCCGAGTCACTGCTGATTTCACGTTTAGGACGCGTTCCGGCAAGGTTCCGATGCGTCGTGGCTTATGACAAGGAGCACTTTGGGGCAAGCCGGCAAGCCGGCTATTGTCTCAGCCCGCATCAGCAAGCATGAGGCATCGGACCAACATCGGACCGGCAGCCTTGGTCCGAGCGCACCGTTTGCGCTCCACTGCCTTGAAGTGCCGCAGGTCAGTGCTCAGTTGGCTTCACGTACTGAGTACTGGGGATTCGGAACTTGTTCCTCTTCACTGGCACCACAGCTCAGAAGAAGCGCCTTTGTGCAACGCAACGATGGACAGTCATGGACTCCGAACCTGCTCCGAACTGTCTCAGGAATTAGGGCGCGATACATTCCGACTCGTAGCTCTTTGCAGCTGCTCTCCACTTTCCGTCTGTCCCAATTTTCATGCGCCCCGGCGGCGTACATGATTGGCACGTCCACACTTGTTGCCCTACCGATGCATTCTGAAGCCGAATTTTCTGAAATAAGGGTTGAATCTCTTCTTTACCGGGCAGTATATCTCGACGTCGATAGCAGCCGCGGAGGCACGTACGACGCCCTCGCAGACCTCATTAAAAAACCTGCCTTCCACCGTTCCGCGACTCGACACCTTCCCATTCGAATCAACTGCTTCATAAACGAACCCCGCCTGACTCAACCCGCAGGACTCGTGATCTCTCCTGCACCCGCTTCGAAACGCTTGTGTCCTGAATCTTGGGCAAGGAGCGCGATCATCATGATTCGTGAGTGGCTAGCAAAAGAAGACGACGCATCCCGATTCCTCATCGAAGCAGGCTTCATTTTAGACTTGTAGGAAAACTGTGATCTCAGGAACTGCCTAACGCTTTCTTTCTCAGGGGGCCGTTCAGGCAGGTGGCCATGGCATGGTCCGCCGATAGCTGTTGACTCAATACCCTGCGCCTTAACAGCTGGCTATGTCCCGCCACGAGGTTCCGGGGGTTCCGGGTACTCACCAAGCCGTAAATGTGGTTGCCTCACATCTCTTTAACTGCCAGGAATATCGTCGGTTGCAGTGCTCAATATTCAACTTTCCCACTTGACGTCCCTAAACTGGGAGGGAAAACAAGATGATGTCTTGGCACACAGCTGCCTTCCCATAATCTTTCCACACTGCGGGGATGCCAAGAGTGGAAGTCTCGAGGCTAAACGACCCATTCCCTTAAATTGGGCCGCTGCCGCACGGTTATTGACCAAGGCCTTGCCTAATGTTCCACGTTGTTCTCACCGGGCGAAGAACGGCGAGCTTGCTTGTTCTCAGAGGCTCACACTGCTATTGACCCGACTCGTTTGCCGTGCTGTGCTCCGGAGATTCGGTGTAGAAGGATATTTCTTTTGGTATGGCTTATTCATTTTCGAAGATGGATAACTGCTGACCCTTTCCACATCAGGGCCACATTCAAGTTTTGGCGTGCAGAAAGGTCTCCTCCATCGGTGCCTTATCCTCACAACCTCCCAATTACGCGTGTTT